AGAGTTAGTATGGCTAAGTACAAATGGGAGAAGAGCGAACGCAGGGTCAGGATAATCTTTAGCTAAACGCTGTAAATCTTTGTAGAGTGCAAGCGCACGAAGGCGCGTTGACATGAGAGCGTGAGAATATTTTACTATAGGAGTGCTGTTCCTGTGCACCGCATGCTCAATTTTGCAATTGCGCTTTGATTGGCTTTCGTCGCGAACGTGCGCTGTCGTTCCGTGTGCCTACCTGTCAATGTATTCAGCTCTTCCGTGCTGTTAAAAGCCACTGTATCCGTTTCTCTTCTTTCAGCCTTTCCTCCCCGCTCCCGGTTGATACTCATCCATGGCCACTCTGGAGAAGCACACAAGTGATGACTCTGATGACAAAAACGTCCACACTGTTGCCTATAGTCTCGATGAGCGTCGTAAACTTGCATTGGCTGAAATAGATAATGCCAAGTTCTCGTATGTTTAGCTTAGCTTCGCTTCTGCTGCCACTCATTGCTCATCTTATCCTCCAGATGGTTCCACTTCAAAGTCTGCATGGTTGCGGGTGTCGGCTTCTTCACGGATGCGTATGTCCCAAGTTTTCCCTTTCTGATCCTCTCTGACAGTCCATCAGCTACGATATCTTCGCCATTAACATCGCTTCGTCGATGCTCGGCTATGTTTATGGTAAAAGTAAGCGCTCTCTCTCGCTCTAGTTCTTTGGAACCCTTTCCTAATCCGTATCCTAGACGGTGCTCTGAACAGCGCTCAAAGTCTAGGCGTCAAAGTAGCCACTCCCGTAGGCACGCTCATCGGTCAACTCCTTTTCGGATGGCTTGCGGACCGCGTTGGACGCAAGCGGATGTGTAAGTACTAGACATGGTGTTTTCTAATTCCCTACTGATGATTGCTATCTAGACGGTGTTGAGCTCATGATTATAATCGTCGCTACCTTTGGACAAGCTCTTTCAGGCAGCGCCTTCGCTGTTTCTATCATTGGCACTCTCGTTGTATGGCGTGGCATTGTAAGATACGACCTTTCAATATGCGATGGGATGCTTAGATCTTGTTGCAGATGGGCGTAGGTATTGGTGGGGATTACCCTCTTAGCGCCGTCATATCCTCGGAGTTCGCTTCAACCCATATTCGTGGTCGTTTGATGACTGCTGTATTCGCGTCTCAAGGATGGGGTAATTTTGGTATGTCTCATTTGCGTTGGGGCTGCCTTGCACCAAAAATAACGAATCATCAGCCGCTGCACTCGTCGCCCTTGTCGTAGTGGCTGCGTACAAAAATCAGTTGCTGCATGAGACGCCGACTCACCTTGTCTCCGTCGACTACATGTGGCGTCTTCTCATCGGTCTTGGATGTGTCCCCGCCGCTGTTGCTTTATACTTCCGTCTTACAATTCCAGAGACCCCTCGCTACACCATGGATATCGACCGTAACCTTGATCAGGCCTCCGCTGATATTGAAAGCAATCTCAGACACAACGAAGCCGAGTATGATTCAGACAATATCCGCCGTGTCGTTGCACCGAAGGCTACTTGGAAAGACTTTACTCAGCATTTTGGCCAGTGGGCAAACTTCAAGGTTTTGTTCGGTGCCGCGTACTCTTGGTTCGCTCTCGACATTGCTTTTTACGGTCTTGGATTGAACTCGTCTATCATCTTGAAAGCCATCGGCTTTGGTGGAGGAACTGCAAAAGGAACGCTAGGCATCTACCAATCTTTGTACAACATCTCTGTCGGTAACCTTATTTTGTCCGCTGCTGGTTTGATCCCGGGTTACTGGGTTTCATTCCTGTTTATCGACAGCTGGGGCCGTAAACCCATTCAGCTTATGGGCTTTATTGTCCTCACTATTCTCTTCCTTATCATGGGTATGTCTCAACGCCTTCTATAAAGGTACCGCGATTAAATACGAATACAGGCTTTGGCTTCGAAAAGCTTACAGCCACTCCGGCCGCCACAAAAGGCTTTGTGTTCCTGTACTGCCTCGCGGACTTCTTCCAGAACTTTGGTCCGAATACCACTACATTTGTCATACCAGGAGAAGTGTTCCCCACGCGTTACCGTTCGACAGGCCATGGCATTGCCGCCGCGTCTGGAAAGCTCGGTGCCATTATATCTCAAGTGGGATTTGCCCAACTGATAAATATTGGTGGGACCAACAAATTCCTCAAGCACATGTAAGACATATCCTATAGAACCGCGTCATCCATCCTTATTCCTTCCCTTTAGCTTGGAGATCTTCGCCTTCTTCATGCTTACTGGCATCTTCTCGACCTTGTTGCTTCCTGAGACTAAGGGACGAACTCTTGAAGAATTGTCCAACGAAAACCAAGACGGTTTCGTACAAGGTAAGAACGTGAACTTGATTAATTAGTTCTCCGGTTAATTTTTGGCATAGGGTACTCTCACAGAACGTCGCGTCAAGCGTAGGCTTGATCCATGATATATGAACACCCCTTAATCTGCCTTGTAATGAATACGTGTTGTTTGTTTTCTATATCATATATACCATAACGTCAGGCAATCCATCAGTTATGCGTTCCATGGGCTCTTACACCGAGTGGCCCGAGCATTGCAACTGTACATATGATGACCGATTGATTATCTTTTTTTCCATCTTGTCATAATGTCCAATGTTCCTCCACCTGGAATCTACGTTCCTGCTGTCCTCTTCTTCACAGAAGACGAGGAGTTTGACATTCCAGCAATTAGGGCACATGTCTTGAGATTAGCTGAGGTATGATGCTCGATGCGTCAGCTAGTTTACGAGAGGCCTCCATCTAACAAAAGAATCGGAATATCTAGGGTGGAGTTGCTGGTATCCTTGTGCAAGGTTCAAACGGCGAAGCCCAACATCTCTCTCATGACGAACGCAAAGAAGCTATCCGCTTGACCCGTCGGACCTTAAACGAGCATGGGTACAATTCCATTCTCGTCATCGCCGGAACAGGGGCGCAATCAACCCGCGAGACGAAAAGGCTTTGCATAGATGCACATGCGGCAGGTGCATCCCACGCGCTCGTGTTGACGCCATCCACTTGGCCTCACTACATGTCAACCGAAAACATCCTCCGCTTCCACCGCGAAGTCGCAGATGCGTCCCCCATTCCGACGATGATTTACAATTTCCCGACGGTTACGGCAGGTTTGGACCTCGACTCCGAAATTATATCCGCGCTTGCAGCACATCCAAATATAGTTGGCACAAAATTATCCTGCGGCAATATTGGAAAACTCCATCGCCTCACCTCTCAGTTTAATGCGGATACCTTCGCCGTCTTTGCGGGACGCTCAGACGTTTTGGTACAGGGGCTCGTTTCTGGGAGCTGCGGAGCGATTGCGGCGCTTGTTAACATTCTTCCCAAGCATCATGCGCGTTTGTATGCTCTGTGGAAAGAAGGTAATATACAAGAAGCCATGCAGCTCCAGGCGGAATTTGGGCATGCTGATTGGGCCATTTCCAAGATTGGCGGAATCGGAGGTATTAAAGCTATCGTGAATAAGCATTGGGGTTATGGTGGACCTACCGTCAGAGGACCCTTGAAGCCAGCCAATCTCAACAGTTTCGCCGGAAATAGTCATTTAGATTTGCTGGAAACACTGATAGCAAAGGAGAAGGCGCTCGTACTTTAGTTCTTTAGAAGTGGCAATTGAACTTATCAGGTGTATCGTAGGTTTAGATATGAAGACCAGAGTTCTCCCGAACTTTGATAAGGTTTCTGACGCACGTTTCATATTTGAATAAGGGCATAGTCCATTCTCATTTAGGATCATAAACTTTGTCGGGCCTCCTCGTATACAGTGCCATTGCGTAGTCTGAATTTACCCCAGGCCCTAGACGGCTGGTAGACCGTCAGATTCGTAGCGTAAGCAAAGAATGAAATTAACCGTCTTCCTTGACCGAAGAACCTCCGCTTTGAATGTGCATTCGTCATCGTCTCCACCGCTCAAATCGCATCTAGAAAGCCATAGTGTCGAATCAGTCAGGAACGCAAAGGATGGCCCAAGGGCTGGCTGCCGATCTCCAGATGCGACTGAATTGTTTAACCCTGGCCTTGCCTTAATCGCATTGTTTACCACCTGTGTGACCATGAAATCAGATGGAGAAAAGGTTAATATCAGGAACGAACAAGAATTGTAAGCTGCTCGTGTCGAGCCTTCTCCCGTAGGTGCCTCATGAAATGCACCATCATCGCATGTCCCTGTGCGGACACTGCGCTGAGATTTGATCCGAGCAATTGCGTGACGGTGTCTATCACGATGAAACGACATCTCAACCTAAATCTAGAGTAAATGGTTGGAAGTGAATTGGGAATGGGGGACTGAACCGGTGCAGCTCATTAGGGTCTGTTTCCGAGTCCAGCACACTGAGTACGCCGTCAATATCGAAACAAGGGCAAACTTGAAGCTGATCAAGCACGGATGCAGTATCCTAAATGAAAGTACTAGTAAGCGACTCGCAAGTAAAAAGCGCGCGAAGTTGAGAGCTTTACCTGCGCAGCGAGCGATTCTAAAATCGGCGTAATACGCTCGGCGGAAAAATCACCAGTGGTATCAAACCAGATAGCTGATGCATTCGGATGTTCTACCAGGTAGTGTAAGACAACATTCAAGGCTAGACACTAAGCCGAAGTGAATGACTAAGACCATAGGAAACGGAGAAAATACTTGCAGATTTTCCGGAACCACGAGCACCGGAGATCTCAATGACTTCGTGTCTGCTTGACTCGCCCACGAGTTCATCAAAGATGGGTACTCCAGTTTTGACCCAAGCATCCTGCGTGAAAATATCAATGGCTCTCATGCCCGGCACGCTCACCACCTCTGTGACAACATTAAAGCATTCAAGGAAGTCACTGAGAGATATTGTTCCATTAGGTAAACTGTGGAACACTTCAAGAGGTGTCCTGGAGAACAGAAGGTCACTATCTGTCCTTATACCACATTTTCCAAGTGCATCAACAAGATCCTTCGGTAGTTGAGAGATGCTAGTGAGACGCATTCTAAATATATGCATTAATGGGGTAGTGGTAACCTGGGTCGTTGCCACTGTTACAGTGCTTCTTCGACCCGCCGGGGGTTCGATTCCCTCTTAATGCAGAATATTTTTTCCCTCCAACACAATGCATCATTCATTATTTAAACAACACAATTTACACAATACTCAGTGATTAATGATTCAAATGTCTCCAAAACTGAATATCGCAGGAAGTCAATCAGCAATGGTTTGGGGAGTGAATGATGATCATACCGATCTGGGAATAATGCGGGGGCAAGCAAACTCCACATGTACAGCAACATGCACACCCAACTGGAGACGACTCGCATCCACATAGCAACTTCGGATCGCCCAATATATACGTTATTGTGCCCGGAACTCACTCGTTGCGAAACAACATTCCTAGCCAGAAATTAATTATGCGCGAGGGAGCTTGCAACAAACAGAACGCACCAGTCTGTAAGGAGCATTGCTACATACATGGATCCGATGGCAAAAATGACGTGGAACCAAGAATACTTCAAGAGCTAAGCATACCACCTGCTGTATGTATTAAGCACTTACGTTGTACCGTGTACCATGTCGTTCATCGTCTCTGGATTCGCCTACATCTCCTTCGTCGTCCCACGATTCCTCGTCCAACGCAGATGCAGGTATAGCGCTAAATTCTCTTTCAATATCTTGGTTCACAGCAAGAGAAGAAGGATTTACCCAGCTTGAACGGCGGAGAGCACAGCCTGATATCTCGGAGATTCAATCCTTCCCGGCTGAGTGGAGACTACGTCAAGTTCGGAATGATCGTCTAAATGATCATCGCCGTTGAGTTGAACGCCTCTCTTGTTCGCTCCGACAAGAGCGCGACTTTGGGTGGCGGCGCGGGTTGTAGAGTAAGCGATCGCCAAGAACGTGAAAACTCCGCCTAGAATGACAGTTACTTTGCGCGTTCCCTCCACGGTATCTGTGTTGTTTCTGAGAGGATTACACGCTGTCTTCTCATCAACATGATTGCCTACTGCGGAAACAATAAGGTATGTGCAATAGGCGGCAACCATTCCAGATTGTGCTAGGCCAGAGCGGGGATTGTATTCTTGAATCGAGGGATGTACACACATTACTGTTGCGAGAATGCACAATGCGAGATTGAGAGATATAAAGAAGCGGTTCAATCCGCAACTCGAGCCAGCAAAGTAAGCATATAGGATTCCCGTCATGGTGATGGTAAAGATGTACGTGGCAGCCGTTGATCCTACGAGAATCCATTGCCATAAGTTGGAGTTGTTCGGCGATTCTTCCCACTTCGTTATGCACGTTTCAGACCATGTATGGGCAAAATCGACCAGCAGGACGAGACCGAGAAGGATGAATACGGTGGCACCAATAAGGGAAACATAATTTCCCCAGAATATAAAGAAGCCGTTGGGGATGAAGAAGGACGTTACTACAAGAACAAGCCATAAAAGGACTTTCGGACCCCACCAGCTGCATTTGTGAGACATCGTCGCGAAGCATCGGAAGCTAAACATACCCATTCTGGATCGCTGCGCGCTTATCACGGGTGTCTTTCAGGCCAATGAGTAGAGCACTCAGTAGAAGATGGAAGAGAGCCAGTGCGAAGCAGATACGATGAATCTACTGCCGATGTCAGACCCAGAATCTGTCACTGTTGACATGGATGCCGTACCGCAAGCACACCATAGCATTTTCCCTCTTTACAATCCATCTTGATATAGTTAAGGCTCCATTTCTCTATGAGCTGTATGACAAGGTCTGTCTTCATGACCCATGCTAACATGGAATTGAGGGAGAATATGATCTGGGATCAAATGAGCGGGTGAAGTGGAGCAGAGTAGAACAGCGTACAGCAAAGCCAACACGAGTGGCAATGGATGAGTTACAGTTACATGACTTGAAGAACATAGAGGCTGGAAGAAGTTAGAAATACAAAGGGCGCAGAGCAAGACACAAACCAGCATTGGAAGTAAAACAGAAAGCTAGGCCAGCGAGACATGAAGTTGCAATGGTGGTCAGCCCGCTTGCGAGCGGGAGGGACATCAACAGACCCATGTTGCGGTCACACGTCACACGTCACACAGCGCACGTAATGCCTTACGCTGAGATGGAAAAGAAAGCAGCGAAAATAAAGAACCATAGAAAATACAAATGCCGAGTGGGGAATAATAGAAAGTATGTAGTATACCTACGGTAAACTCATGATGCACGACCTACTGGACTGCAGCCGAAACACGTTTCCTACAAGCCGCAAACCTGCAGCGCCTCGTAAGCGCTCGCCAGTGTGTACGGATTTTGGGGATGATGATTAATGTGAAACATACTTGATGGTTATAGGCACCGACCTTGATCAGCATGTCAAAGCGTTATGCTGGAAGCTCGATTCCGGGACAAGGTCGTGGCCGTGGTGGTGTAAAGACAGGGTGAACGAGACACAAATATGTGGAGGTTGGATGCGCATGGCGCTTTTCCAAGTTAGGTAACTGCTAGACTAACCATTAATTAGCCGCCCACGACGGATCATGCTACCTAAGTACTTAAGTACTTATACCGTATTCGCTTCTCTCTAGTCTCCATTATTTCGTCATTCGTTGTTTGCTTTGCATGATAACCCCACGAGCAGATATAAATGGTCTCCAGAAAATCCGAGTCCGGCCGCTGCCACAATGCTCCCCGCCGCATTTCTTGCCCTAGCCCTCATATTATACCTCGCAACATTTGCTCGTGGACAACTTGACTACATTGTCCTCACATCCGATCCCCCTTCGAACGCACTTTATCTTTCTCCGACATTATTGTCGTTCTCTATTGAGCAGGACCGTTGGACGAACTGGTCTGGAATAGCTGCGAGAAACACTTTCTTCTTCAACGTTCTTGATAATTTGAGAATCAAGACGGGATCTCCGCCTTACATCAGGATAGGCGCTAACAGCGAAGATCGTACCATATTTGACCCAAATGTCCAGGTATGGAATTGTTATTTACTTAAAGTGTATCTTGCTGACCCTGTCCCATCAGTTCTCAGCAACAACATTTCCCCCGTATACTACGACGGTTCCATACCCCGAGGCGAATAACATCAGCGTAGGCAATGGTTACTATCAGACTGCGCGCTTCCTACCTGCAAGTAAGTGCAGTCGCTCCGCAATAATTCTCGTTCTTATTATCCGCGGCAGATACTCACGTCATTTGGGGTGTGAACTTGGGCCGAAATAATATTTCCGCCGCGACCCTTGAGGCCCATTCAATCTTCGGGGTGTTCTCCGGGGAGGCTTTTACGGATGCTGGTATCATCCTGGATGCCATCGAGATCGGTAATGAACCAGACCTATACAGCCACAACGGTGACCGACCAAGCAATTACTCTGTATCTGACTATGTGTCGGAGTAAGTCTATAATTGCAAGCAGACTAATCGTGAAACTCAGAACGATATGATGTAGATGGAGTGTCTTTGCATCTTTCGTATCAAGCGTTGCTCAAATCACCAATATCTCACAGATAAAATTCTGGATAGGCGCGTTGGCGGGGAGTTCTCATTCGACGACGGGTTTCTCTCCTCAAGCAATTCTTGGGAGCAGCATTTTGAATTCCAGTTTGGCAGGCCTCATCTCAACGTGCGGTGATGACGACATTATCCCAAACTTATTAATGATTAACATCGAATAGTTATTCACAACATCATTACAGCGCTTCCTTCTGTCAAGGCGCTCCCTCCAGTCTGCAGGATCTAATGTTAAAATCAAATATTAGAGGAAATCTCTCGGCCTTCATTCCCGACATAGCCAGTGTTCGTGCAAACGGATTTGATTATGTATTGGGAGAGACGAATAGTATTTCGTGTCATGTAGGTTACCCTCTTCATTCTTTCTTTTGCGAGATTTTTCATCATCGTCAAGGGTGCACCTAACGTCAGCAATACGGCAGGGGCCACTCTTTGGTCGCTAGATTACAGCCTTTATGCGTGAGTGTGTTGTTGGCTCGTCGAAACGAATTCAATAGTATCTTTAGTGCATCAATCGGCGTATCCCGCATATTCTACCACATGGGAGTAGGATTTCGGTATACTCCTGTAAGTCTTTTCCCATGACACCTCCAGACTTGCTTAAATCATAGAACTCGACTCCAGATTCAACCAGTAACCCTGACACGTTCCATATTGGACGGCTCCCCTCTATCACAACCGCTACCTCCCCACGTTCAGCCAGAATATTATGCTGCCATCATCATTGCAGAAGCTATTGGGTCCAGCGGAAACGTTCAAATGGTCGAAATCCAGACCGATGACCCGAACGTAACTGGATATGCATTTTACGAGAACGAGACCCTAGCACGGGCCTTGTTCATTAATTCCGAAGCGTACTTTGGGGGGATAAGGCTATCGGTTCATATCACGATTAATATTTTGGGCATTCCGTACAGTGAGATGTATGTGAAAAGACTTGCAATCGGGTAAGTTTCTATTACCTGCTAAACCAATTTCCACTGACGCAGATCAGGCGTGCTGATGACACCTCCGGACTTACTTGGGGCGGGCAAAGTTACGAAACACAAGATGGACGTGTAAACGGCACAGAGGAGGCGTATGTGCTTCCAATCTCTCAAGGTGTATATATTCAAGAGACGGAAGCGGTAATGCTACGTTTCGTGTAGAATCAAAATAGACTATATCGTGTGAACTTTTTCATGAGTTGTTGAGAGTTATTTGTCACTTGGTCGACATTGGTGAATGTCAAGTCAATACCTGAACGCTATCACCGAAAATGCCTCAAGGCTTGGAATGCGCATACAAGAGTCTTTCTCAGAACATACTAGGGATTTTGCAATAGCACGGGGCGGTGCATTGTACTTGGATGCCCCTGACGACAAGAATATTCGTCGACAGCTGGAGTCGAGCAGTGACAGAGAGAAGTTGGATGCTTTGAAACGTCTTGTTGCAGTATGTGGGCTTTAATTAAGGAGATATGTAACGATCACGTTGTATGCAGCTCATATCCAAAGGACGTAACGTCTCAGAACACTTTGCGCAAGTTGTCAAGAACGTTGCTTCTCAGAATCTTGAAATCCGGAAGCTGGTGTACATCTACCTCCTA